GGTTAGAAATATTGCCTTAGACTAGGAATAGCTAAGAGCTTGTATAAAAATGATTTGGTCTTAGATTAAGAATAATTTAAGAGCACTGATGAAATATTTTGAATATTGAATATATCATGAAATGACTTAAAATAAAATATTATGAATAATGTAAGCTTGAAATATGTATTGTGTGCATGATATCAAATGGTTAATTATGAATTGAGATTCAATTTATATGGATGTTCGATGCATTAGATATGCTTACTCAGCTTCAACGCTGAGCGTGTAGTATGTTTTATTTGCTACACGCAGGTAAACAAAAAGAATGATGTGATGGAATCCTGGCGGCAGACGGAGCGAGATGGTCAAAGTGGATGTGTAAAATGAATTAAAGTTTAAAAAGACATAATATTATTATGTTTTGTAATTGTTATTTATTCAGCTTCCGCAACATTAACTACTCTGTTATTATTCTGAATACTTTATTATGAAATAAAGTTTTAAAATGCTTGAAACCTTTTGAATGTTTACAAATACCAAGTTTATACTTTAGTCCGAAAGGGGCTGCAGACCTGGACGGATTGAGGTGTTACATACTGCCCTTGTTGAAAGGTAAGCCTTATATTTTTCTTCAATCATCTGACATAACTAACCGGGATGCTCTCCCTTTAGTTACATAATTTGACCTCCGTATTAGTATGGATGAAATGTATGATCGGTTTGACCGGTCTCTATGTTTTTTTGAGATGTCCAATTCGATTGGACATCTAGCCGGTCAGATTGGTGCGTGACCAATTATCGGTTGGCGTTTAAGGATAATCTTTTTGAAAAGAACAAACTTTTATTCATAACCGAGAACTCATTACACTTTATCTAAAAAATTTACGCAAGTGGTGAGAGTTCCAATGCCGGTCAACTCGTCCACCTTCCATGGTTTCCAGCTGATAAGTTCCCGGCCTAATGATCGCCCTTATGCGATAAGGTCCTTCCCAATTGCGCACTAGCTTGCCCCTCTCATTAGGCTTACTAGCATCCCTTCTGCGTAATACTTCATCATGCACTTGGAAATAACGTGGACCCACCCGGTTGTCATGATATCTCTTTACTGACTGCTGGTAACCGGCCATCTTGACAGCTGCCATGGTCCTTCGTTCTTCCACCAGATTTAACTCAGCTAGGTGATCGACTACGTTCTGGCCGGGCTGATACACGGTCTCTCTAAACGTTGGGAATTCTGCCTCAATTGGCAACCGGGATTCACATCCATAGGTGAGCACGAAAGGGGTCTCCCTGGTTGCTCTTCTTGAAGTCACCCTGAGCGCCCACATCGTATGAGGAAGTGCTTCCAACCATTTGCGTCCTTCTTCTCCCAGCCTCTTCTTCAGCCCGTCCACTATTGTTCGGTTAGCATTTTCCACTTGACCATTTCCTTGTGGATATGCTACTGACTCCTTGCTGTGCTTGATTCCAAAACTGGCCAGGTACGCAGTGAACCAGGGGTTGCGAAATTGTGGGCCATAGTCGGTGACAATCATCTTTGGGGCTCCAAACCGGGTAACGATGTTCTTCCAAACGAATTTCTCACACTGCCATACGATGATGTTCTTCCCGCCTTGTGCGACCGGGAAAGCCCCAATAATGTTAATCCTAAATCGGGAAAAGGGTATAACATTAGAGGTCGGTTCATAATATGTAGCCGGTCTGCCAGGATGTTTGTAAAAAACTTGGCATGTCCAACATTTTTGCATATAACGCTCACAATCCCCAACGATGGTCGACCAATAGTAGCCAAGCAATATTATCCTCTCAGCCAACGTACGGGACATTTGATGGGCTGCACAAACTCCCTCATGTACTCGGCTATCACCCGCTCGGCCTCCGGGTTTGTATAAGTGACCGTCCAGTACTTGGAACTTGGGAGCTCGTAGGACTACCTTCCTGGATCGTTCTTCGTCGTCCGGTTTTTTGGCGGTCATTTAATACTCCATGAGATCGTATCTCCACTCATTTGCTTTGATCACCCAATAGATGAGCTCTGACCTTGCTGAATGGCTACGACCTCAAACCGGTAAGCACTAGGTTGGTCCAATATTTCAATTTTGGCCAACTTCGAGACATGCTTCGGGCAGGCTTGCATTAGCTTTGAAAGCATATCAGCATCGGTGTTTTCTGACCGGGGTATCCTGGTCAGACGAAACTCTTCTAACTCCCTTAAAAGTGCTCGGACCAGGTCACTGTACCGGGCCAGACGCTCTTCTTTGATCTCCATCTCGCGGTTGACCTAGCTGAAGACCAAACTTGAATCAGAACGGATCTTCATTCTCCGCCTCATTGTTGGTAAGCTTGAAGTTAAAAACCAAGGGATGGTAAATTTTGAATCCTTCCGGGGTGGTGAAGACTATGCCGGCTCCGCAGCCCTTCGGTCCAGAGGCCCCATCAACGGCCATATCCCACTACGGTTCGACCGTATGGGAAGGTCCGGCTTCAGGCTCCAGACCGGTCAATTCAACCAGGAAGTCGGGTAATGCTTGGCCCTTGATTGCGGTTCTAGGTTTATACTCGATCTTGAACTGAGTGAGCATCATTGCCCACTTGATCATCTGTCCTGGAGAGGTTGAATTTCGGAGGACCGGCCTAAGTGGCTGATCGGTCAGTACTTCCACATCGTGAGCTTGGAAGTACGCGGTCAGTTTTTTGGCCATTATGAAAAGTGCATACGCCGTTTTTTCAATGGCAGTATACCGGCTTTCTGCCCCATTAAGTGCTTTGCTCACGTAGTAAATAGGCCTCTGGCCGTCTTCATTTCTTATCAAAACAGAGCTTACAGTGTTTTGGGATATGCCCAGATATAAGTACAAAGTTTCACCCGGTTTGGGCTTAGATAAAACTATATCAGAAACTAAGTACTCTTTCAGCTGCTGGAAAGCTTCTTCAAATTCCCGATACCATTCAAATGTATTGGCCTTCTTCAAGACTTTGAATAAGGGCAAGGCTCTTTCAGCTGACCGGGAAAGGAAGCGGCTCAAAGCTGCTACCCGCCCGGTGAGTCGCTGCACGTCCTTCAGTGAACCAGGCGACCTCATCTCGGTTATGGCTTTTAGGGATTAGGCTCAATACCTCGCTTGGTTACCATGAACCCCAAGAACTTGCCGGTCTTTACAGCAAAGACGCATTTCTTGGGGTTGAGGCGCAATTTGTACTTAGCCGTGATCTCAAAGCACAGCCTCATGTCAGCCGGGTGGTTCATGGCTTGAAAGGTCGGTTTACCATCCTCTGATAAGTAGTGCCTGAATTCTTAAGTCCAAAAGCCATCACCCGGTAGCAATAGGTGCCTTCAGGAGTTAAGAAAGAAGTTTTTTCTTCATCTTCCTTCGCCATAAAGATCTGATGGTAGCCTTTGAAAGCATCCATGAAGCTCAGCAACTCACACACGGCCGTCTCATCGACCATTTGGTCGGGACTGGGCAGCGGGTATGAATCCATGGGGCAGGCCTTGTTCAGACCCGTGTAGTCTACGCACATGCGCCACGTGTTGCCCTTTGGTGCTAGGACGACATTTGCCAACTAAGCCGGGTACTGGACTTCCCTGATGTGCCTGACCGACAACAAATCCTTCACTTCTTTCTTAACGAAGTCCCTCTGGACATTCGCCAAGTGCCTTTTCTTTTGTTTTACCGGCCGGCTACCATCGATCACTGCCAACCGATGGCATATAACCGAATGGTCGATGCCCGGCATGTTCGCCACACTCCAAGAGAATATATCTGCGTATTCCCGAAGGACTGAGATGATTTCCTCTCGAAGTCCTCTGGGCAGATTCCGGCCTATCCTCACCATCTTTTCCGGGAAAGCTTCTTGGAGAACAATCTGCTCGGTCTCATCACCTGGTTCCAGCTTTGACCGATCCTCTTCCTGGGAAACTAGGGTAACCCTTTCAAATGCCTTGGTCATTTTCTTTACAGCCTCTAAGTAACAAGACCGGGCCTTCTTCTCATCTCCTCTGACTTGTCCTATACCGCCCGGGGTATAGAACTTCATACAGAGATGGGCCATGGAGATGATTCCACGGACTTTATTTATTCCAGGCCGGCCTAGGATGGCGTTGTGAACACATTTGATGTTCACTACCACGAACCTCATCTGCTTCTGGATCACCTTGTCTCCCATGCCCAATTCGCAAGTTAGGAGGATTGATCCCTAAGCTTCATCAGAGTCCCCAGTTAACCCGGACAGGGGCGTCTTCAAGGGCTCAAGCCGTGTTCGACCTAGCTTGAGTTTCTCAAATGCCTCAAAGTACAATATATTGACACTACTCCCCACGTCAACGAGTACCCGGGAGACATCGACTCCACCCATATCCATGGTTATGACCAAGGGGTCATTGTGATCTTCGTCGATGGCGGGAAGGTCCCGATCTGTGAAAGTGATCGGCTCCCTTCTGGTTTGCTTTGACCGTAGAGCTAGGGTAACTGTGCCCATGTATAGTTCCCGCCCCTACTTCTTCCTTTGAGATGTAGAATCTCCGCCTTCCGGTCCACCATAGATGACCTGCAAGTGCTCCTTGCCGGCTGCTTTCTTCTTCTTGTTTTGCTCGGCTGGTTGTTCTTCGGGCTTGACCCATTGGTTCTTCTTTGGTTTTGCCTGAGCTAGATACTCTGGGTCGAGATCTCCGGCCTCTATCATCTGCTTGATTACCCCCTTAACACTATTGCACTCTGCAGTGTTATGGGAGTCAGTCTTATACAAGGAGCAATACTTCTCGGTCCATTGCTTCTCCCCCACTGGTTTCTTCTCAACCTTGACCGGCTTCACCTCCATGACTTCTGCTTTTACCCTGCCGGGCATTTCGATTTCCTTTTTCAAGGAGATTCTCCCTTTGGTATGGCCCTGCTCGGCCTCCCTCTTGGATGACACTTGTGCCTTGGCGTCAGCATACTCTCAAGCCGTGTTATAGGCCTCTTGATAAGATTGGGGAGGCCTTCTACAAAACTCTTTGTACAACTCTCCGAAACGGAGCCCGGACACCAGGAGGGACATGGCTGTTTTGTCGTCCACCTCCTCCACCTTGTCAACTTCATCCTTCCATAGAGTGAGGAATTTTGTCAAATCTTCGTGCTCCCTCTGCCCGGCCGTACTCAAGTAGGTAAACTTTTTCCTCTTGGTACAGTTTTCCTTAAACTTCTCCTGGAACACCTCGGCCAGTTCATCGAAAGAATTGATCTCGCCGGCCGGGAGGTTGTGAAACCACTCAGCGGCCCAGCCGTGGAGGGTCTGGAAGAAAAGCAGATATTTTTCGTCCCCGGAAAGGCCCATCATCCTCCCACTCTAGTGGAGGGTTTTGACGTGTATTTCTGGGTCCTTCCGAGTAAATTTCGGGACCTCAAGCTTCGCCTTCTTTGGAAATGGGGTCTCATGAACCCGGTCTGTGAACAGAGATTCGTTCAGCAAGATTTTTTTCTTTTCATCCCGAGCTACCCATCGTTGCAACTTTTCGAGACGCGCTTCGACTCGGCCCACATGGTCCCAGGGTTGTTCAATATGGGAGCGGACCGTGTGCCTTGGATGGCTTTCGGCTTCTTCCTCCCGGGGTGCCTGACTGTTCTGGGGCTCATCGTGAGGGGGTGGCTCCGTGCGCCTGGTCCGACCAGGTCGCTCGGCCCCTCTCCCCAGGTGGTCAAAAGCACTCACCGGGGTCGTCTCCACTCCTAATTGCTCTTTTGCCGGCCGGTTCTGGTTCCTGCCGTCATGCCCTAGCCTTTGGAATGCTGATCTCCTGGACCCTTCAGGCTGAACTGCATTTCCCTTCAACTTCTTTTGAGCCTGGGGAACGTCCCAGTCCTCGTCCTTGCTATGGACTGAGCGAACATCGCCATCCGGCGTGATCTGGGTATGCGACCTTCGGGATCGACTCCTTCTAGACCAGGAACAACCCACTTTGTCCATTTCCCCGATCAGATTTGTTGGGACGACCGGGCGGATAATATTAGTCTGGGGCACAGACTGTGGATATAATCCGGGAATAAAGGGGAAAAACCCTCCCGTTTGCTGAAACATGGACATGAACTGCCCAAAATTTTGGAATGCCTGAGAATACATCGGGTCAATGGGCCCGGGAAAAGGTGGAGGAAACATAGGGAAAGAAGCTATAGGGGAAGTGGATGGAATAGGTGTTGGAATGGTGATAATGGGGGTAGGAATCTGGGTTGAGGGTTGGGCACTCCCTCCCAGGAACGACATGGCGTTCTCAGCGGGAGTAGAGATTTGTGAAATGACTGTTTCCTGGTTACTTGTCATGGCTTTTTTGTAATAGGTCCCACGGATGGCGCCAATTTGATGGTGTAAATTACCACGCGAATGTTAAGTATAAGTAATCGGAAGGGCTGTAGGTGAAAACACCTGTGACCCTGTTTGTTATTAATGATAATAGGAGCTATTACAAAGTACAAGCCGTGTGGATTAATTAAAGCATGCCTCACAAATGAGGCTTTTAGGGGTATTTATAATAATCCTAAGCACGTCAAGCACGTCCTTGATTATCTAGCCGGTCAGCAGACTGGACGGTTCCCTAAGCCGACTTCAATAGTAGAATCTGTATCTTCGCCTTCCGACTGGTCGGGTAGCCCGGGTCAAACAAGTCAAGCGGCGCTACATTTGGTACCTCCCAGTCGGTCAGACCAACCGGGTGGTACCCATGAGTTATTACCCATCATAGGGAATAAGTTTTCAATTTGACTTTCTCTTACATTAAAGTACTTAAAATTATTCAATTGAGATTAGTTTTGAACCACTCATTCCATTATCTAAATCGGATGAGAAATTTATTTTGACACAACCCAAAAAAGAAAAATAAGAAATGTACTCTAAGACTAAGAGTTGGTAACTCTTTGATGAGTGAAAAACATTAATAAATAGACAATGTGCTAGTTGGTTTTGAGCAGTTGACAAAAGCAAGGAGTTCCAAAGCAATAAGACCCGAGTCGAATTCCTAACAACTGCGCAGGTGCATGCTCCATTATTTTGGTTTAGGAATGACTTACATAAGGCATCTTCTACTTGTTTTGGTTCACGAAGCGCACAAAAAGTTAAGGTTATGTCATGTTTTTGTGCCATTGTCAATTATTCCATTAATGTTCTTATTAGGCGATCCGTGAGTTTTGTATGAGGCTTTGGATGTAAGGGAACGTCCTCTTCATCGCTTGCCTACACGTTTTGTTCTCCATTTGAGATGACTTCATCATCATTATCTTTGCTTAGCTGGTTCCTAAAACATCATTCTTGAGGATTGGTTTCATCAAATGCAAATGTATAGATTTTTCAGCTTTCATAGTTGTTCTGTACTTTATTGAAGACTTTTTAAGCTTTGCCATTGCAAGTGATAGAATTTAGGATACGATAACTGTCATTGAATTAGGCTAGCTACAAGACATTTGGGTTTAACCACATTAAAAAAATTGAATCTAATCGATTACCTAGTGGACAAGTGGATCATTTTGAATTGAACCTGTTAACCACTTGCAAATGGATTCTCATCCCCGTTTAATGAATAATCGAGCAATATAACACCAAAAGAATCCCGAATCGCTAGGTATAAACTTCTAGGCGAATAATCGGGTTAAATGAGTCACATGCCATTGGGTATATGTATTCCATAGAGACAACCGGGGTGAAGACTATGGCCGCTAGGAGGGAACGGCTAGACAAATACTTTGACAAACGAGGTGGGCCAAAACCTATTCTTATACTGTGATAGAATTTAGGATGAGGTAAGCACCACTGAATTCGGTTATAAGACACTTGGAATGAAGCACATTAAAAGATGAAATCTAATCGATTACTTAGTTCAATTCAAGAGCTTATATACCCAATGTTTTATTCACTTTTTCGATATATGATACTCTCTGATAGCAAGCATACCTAAGAAATATGAAAGGATTGGAGGTTTCGATGAATATTTATGGTGAGCAAGAATCCCGAAATCGTTGTTCCGATCTAAATATTCCAATTTCGTCCTTACAATGTTTTGTTATGTTAGTGATGACAAAATTTTTATTTGAAATAGGAGTAAAACCGGAGTGGGTTCGAGAAAAAATATGAGTAAAACATAGAGAAAGTACCTAAATAAGAATTCCATGTTTTTATTCCCTAAATAGGAGTTCCCGTTGTAATTAATGTGGCATTGTACTTTGGATCATAATTATTAGAAATCACCATAAATAGGACTAAAACATAGAGAAAAGTACCAAAATAGGACTTTCATGTTTTTCCCCAAAATAGAACTTTGGGCTGTGGTAATGTGACTTTGCATTGTGGTAATGTGGCAGTGTACATGTGCACATTACTATAGTTTTTTGGTAATGTATATGACCATGTTTGGTAATGTAAGTCCTATTTTGGTAATAAAAACATGGAACTCCTATTTTGGTATATTTTCAATGTTTTAGTCCTACTTTGGTCTTTCTCCCCATAATTATTGGTGATGTAATGCATTTAACACCTATTTCGGGAATAAAAATATGGAACTCCTATTTTGATATATTTTCAATTTTTTTACTCCTACTTTAGTCTTTTATCCTAAAAACTAAATCAAAAGGTTTTACAAAATAAGAGGTGACATAACTATTTAATTTTATCATTTGAGTAATAAAATAGTAAAGAAAGTGCTCAAAATTTGATTCAATAAATAGTAAATATACAACTTAATTAAATTGAGACAGAGGGAATAATAAATAATTACCTCAAATCTATGGCAAATGCTATCGTAGACCTAAGAGCCACCATGGACCTACATATGAGCAAAATAAGTATTTCTTTATGTGAGAAGCCTAGTTAGTTACTACGCGTATAATACATGTATTATACTTACGTACGTATAATACGCGTTTTATACTCACGTATCCGTAAGATTTTCAAAAATATTTTAAAATACATGTATATTTGATACTATACGTATAATTACGTATAGTACGAATGAATTGAATATTTCATTATAAATTTTTTTGTACAACAACAAATATTAATTTATTCCAAAAAGTATTTAAACAAAATACGAGTAATACCTCATATCAGTTATACATACAATACTCAATCAATTTGGAAAATATATACTATCTACATTGTACAAAGAATTTTACACTTTTTTGTCACGTTCAAAAAAAGACTTCACTCTTTTCCTTTTGTATGTCTCAAAAATTCATTTTCTTTTAGAAAAAATGAGTAACTCACAACTCTTGTTTGTTTTTTCTAAATATATTCAAACTATAAAGTTTTTATTTCTAGCATTTTTTTAAACTACGTACGTGAAAGTCAAATAAGGATATTTTTCAAATCACGGGAGTATATATTTTTTCAAATAAATATGTTAAATAAAGATTCTAGTTTGAAAAAATCTATTGTGAATATTTCATTTAAAATATTTTTGTATTTTGTTTATTTACCCTAATATAAATTGATGACTATCAATCGGTAAATATGTGTAAATTTGACGTATACTCCCTCCGTCCCTAAATATTTGCCACACTAGTATTCCCGAAGTAAAATATCAAGTTTTTTCAATTTATTTTATTTACATATTGGTATAAAAATAAAAAATAAAATTTACATATCAAAAAACTACATGCAAAAATATTTCGAAATAAGAGGGTGTCAAGAATATTTTATTTTATCAAATAACCAATGAAAAGGTAGAAATAAACAAAAGTTTCCACGATTGCTGAAAAAGCAATGTTGTAAATATTTTGAGACGGAGGGAGTATATGATAATATATCTAAACATATAATAAGACGTATTTTAAAAATAGAAACCATTTAAAACGCGTACGTATCTGTATCTGTATGCCAAACGTTTAATATGCATAATAAACCGTATTTTATAAAATTCTAGCGTATTATACACGAACGTACGTATTTACATATTATACGTTTGCCGTATATTACTAACTATGGTGAGGAGGTCCAGAAAAATAAATGCATCCAAGGTGCACCAAAGAAGCCCTCCAATTCTAAATGTGTTTTTCACCCACACAAGGTAAATTCTATGGTGGACCTAAAGTCTACTATGAACCTACATATGAATCAAATAAGCAATTCCATATTACCTTGGTGAGCATTTTTTTTAAAATAAAAAAATTAAAAAAAAGTTTTTATGTGAGAAGGTTCATAAAAATAATAGCACCATAGAAACTCCACACACTAGTTCAATTTTGTACCGACAAAATATTTTTTGTTTGGGTATTTATCTTTAGTAAATTCCGAAATAAATGGTTTTGAATTCTGTTTGGGTATTCATCCTTAGTAAATTCCGAAATAAATGATTTTGAAATTCCTCTCTTTCAAAAACCCTCACAGCACAAAGCATGTACGGAGTAGATGTTTCAATTTTGTTCTTTTATTTTCTTGTGATACACTAAAAACTTATTCTTTTCTAAATAGAAATATATACTCTTAAGAGGGTGATTTCCCTGCATGTGTAAGTTCCTTGTTTTGTATTGCATAATATGTAACTTTATTATACACTTTCCGAAATAAAGCAAAGCGGATTAGCGTACTCCGTTTGGCCTGCAGAATTTACCAGAAACGGAGTAGGCTACTCCGTTCCACTCATTTAAATACCCAAACGGAGTAGCCAACTCCGTTCCAATTATTTAATTAGGAAACGGAGTAGCCAACTCCGTTCTTTGTTTTTTTTTAATTTTTTTTTAAAATGAAGTATTTACTTTATTTCCTATATTTTAAAAAACATAAAAAATTATAAAAATCAACAAATTATTGAAATATAATGAAACAAAGAATCTACTAACAATAAAATTCATAGTTAAAATAAATATTTATTGACTTTAAATAATGCACCATACACCGAATTAAAAATAAGAAGTAAATTACAACAAATTTATTGATAGAGTACATAAAATTTATCCATAAAATTAAAGATACAAAACACATNCCCAAGCCCAAATCTGTAACAAGACTAGACAACCTCCAATCTGTGCTGCACTCGTCGCACTAGCACGACACATACTGCGATACAAGTAACTGAGTACTGCCGAACCAATCGCACGACCTCGCACAGTGTTTGCGTCACCCATGATTATCTCTAAAAGATACAAACTAACCTTATTTCCCGTCGTGTTGGGAAATAGGCTACCACCCAACAACTTAAACATAATGGCTCTGACATGCTGCAAGTAATCTACATCTAAACTATGATGTGTTAGTTGCTTAGGAATAATGGCAGACATCTTAATCATAGTAGAAGTAATATCAGAAGTTTGAGGCCGAAATCCCATCATGTCCTCACAAATCTGAATCCACTGGTCTCTGGATCGGCCAGTCATCCCCGCCAAT